TTAGAGAACCTTTTAAATTAGTTCGAATATAATTAATCACTATCTTTTAATGCGTTGATTGAATGGCATAAATTAGTACAGATTCATTGATTATCTACCCTTTTCGTATCCCCTACGAAAAATGGTTAAAAAAATAGATTTCGCATTTCAATGGGCATGTTCCAGATTTAACAATAAAACATATATGCATCGAAATATATTAATATAAATATTTTTTTTAAATTAAAAAAGGGAAGAAAAATCTTTGATAGCGAGGCAACTAGGAAGTCTCCTTCTTATTTTAAAGTTGTTACACAAAATTGCTTTTCTTTCTTTCCTTTTCTTCGCTTACTTTTGTATTTCCTTGTAAGATTTGCTTGATATTTTAAAAATATGTTTACTTCTCATGACTTTTCTGAATTATCCTATAAATTNTCTTGCTGAACACCAATATAGTTTTCAGTGGGATCAGAGAGTTTCTGGTAGTCAAGACAGTTATTAGTAAACTGAACAAGTTTGTCATTGACGACGAGAACAGAAGTGCGGAAAAAAAAAAATTACGCCGGGCGTTAAGCGACGCTGCGGAAGTCCCCCGTAATAGACGCGAAAAAATACACTGACCAAAAACAAGCGACGGGTAATTCCCCGTTCCGTTCGATAGACGCGCACATGCATAGGTTGATTGATCTCAGGGTTGGCAACCTTATAATATTATTTTTTTTAATATTAGATATTTTTTTTAATTCAAAAGATCACCTATTGTTCAGTGGTTACTTTGTTTCCACGGGGCCCTGGGCTGCAGCCCAAAGAGCCCTTATGTAGATCCGCCCCTGCCTTTTCTTATCCCCTACGAAAAATGGTAAAAAAAATAGGTTTCGCATTTCAATGGGCATGTTCCAGATTTACCAATAAAACATATATGCATCGAAATATATCAATATAAATATTTTTTTAAATTAAAAAAGGGAGGAAAAATCTTTGATAGCAAGGCAACTAGGAAGTCTCCTTCTTATTTTAAAGTTGTAACACAAAATTGCTTTTCTTTCTTTCCCTTTCTTCGCTTTCTTTTGTATTTCCTTGTAAGATTTGCTTGATATTTTAAAAATATGTTTATTTCTCATGACTTTTCTGAATTATCCTATAAATTTTTTTAGTGTGAGATTCATTTAAAACTGAAAATAGTAGTTCAATGAAGTTAACGCAAAACCCCGTATTTCTTGTATTTTGGATTGCAGCTTACATTTAAATAAAGTCAGTGGTTCATTCAAATGGGGATATTTACTAAACAAGAATCATGTCAGAATAGAAAAAAATGCATAAACTCAATGAGAAACATTGGGGAGGTAGAAAGCGTGTATCTCTAAATAAAGTTAATCCCAAAATTTTTAAAGAGTTTATTTTTATTATTTCTAAAAACATAAAAAAGGCAAAGGAACCGCAGAACTTCTGGCTTGCAAGAAGCATTAATCTATTACACCTAAAATTTTGTCAGCTAACATTTTTTAAGTAAGCTTATCAAACAATGCAATACTTGCATGACGAATAAAAAATAATTTCTAAGCAAGCTAAATAAAAATATGAACAAAAATTAAAATTTATTATATTTTAATGCCGAAAGTTAGTGATTTCTTGAGAAAAGGAAATCTCCAATATCACTTTCACTTAAAAAAAAAAAAAAAAAACTAGGAACTACGATCTTGAGATGATCGAGAACCTAGTACCTTCCTAACTAAGTTCGGCATTTTATGTCTGAGTTAATGCTTGCAGGTTGAATCTAACAGTAAATCCCCAGAAACACTATTTTAATGACATTAAAAAAATAGTCACGATTTTATGGTAAATAAAATTTTGTTTTAATCCGTTGATCGGCTTCAAATATGTCTTTAAAAATTTAGTGTGGAAAAAATAAAAGATATATGTCATATGTAGCATAATGGTTTGGTGATTATAAACTAATATTTTAAGCCAATCTATTTTAAAAAGAAAATTAAATATCTATAAAATTAACTTAAAATTTAAAAAAAATACTTGTATTAAATTGCAATATTTACCATACCTTTTCTGGTTTATTTCAATTGTTACTAACTCACTATATTGTTAGAAAAAGAAATTATTACTATTTGTCAAGTTATTCTTTATAAAAAATAATTATTTATTATAGTTACATGCTAAAATGTTTTAGGTTTGATTGAATGAATGTTTGAAATATTTTCAAGCTGAAAGTAACGTTTTAGAATGATACATGTGATCATAAAAATGAAGCATTGTGATGGCTAACATTATGAAGCATTATGACTTATATTGGCCAACTGCTCAAAAGAATCTCAGTAGGGAAGAGGAAAGGATCTATGAAATAAAAATTTGATTTTTTAAAATTATATATAGAAAATATTTTTAATTTATATTTTTTTTAGCAAGAAGCAGACAGAGGAGCATTGAGTACCTCTAACAATTTCGGTTTCTAGCTAGTTCGCTTCCAAACAAAAGAAAGCCATTTTACTACTGAGTCATAAAACAAAAGAAAAAGGAAAAAGAACAGATAAATCCTCATAATATCGACTTATTAAAGATTTAAAAATTATTAATGACGGTGTAGTTAGTAAATCTATTAAGCGCAGTGTGATAGACGTTTTCTATTGTTTCCCTTCTTATAGCATTGCCTGATTCATTCTAATCAGGATTCATCTGAAAGAATAGGAGTCATTTATTCCAAAAATACTACAAGGGTCCAAAACTGCTTAAAGAATTTTTTTTATTATTATTTATTTTTTTTTTTTGGAAAAAAAATTAATTTAGTATAAAGCATTGATATCAACAATAATGCGTACATTTTCCCCCTTTCCCTCATTTCCCCTAAAATCGCTGAAAAATATAGAATTTTTTTTTAAACAATTTGAAAAAAATTTAATTAAATTCAAAAACACGTGAGATCATAATAGTATACAATCTAGGCATTATTTTAATTTTTGTAAACAGTGCTGTGGTCCCTTCCTAACTCGTCGAAATTTCTTTTCTTATTGTCCGTTTATTTGTTTAATTTTACATTATTTTAATATTTATTTTAATTGTTTTTATTTAATTAATTTTATAATTTGTAAAAACTATATCTCTTAACTTGGAGCCCCCGTTGGAGGCCACTTTTGATTTTTTTCTTATGAATTCATGCATAGTGCCATTGTTCGAAACCCGTTTCAAATGAAACAATTGATTTCTCCAATTTTGTCGAAATTACCAATATGTGTCGAATTTTTTTTTCCATAGCTTTAAAAAAAAAAAAAAAAACATAATTTAACAAAATAAAATACACCAAGTCCAAAAAATTAAAAAAATATTGAAATTTTTTTAATTATTATAAAAACCAATTTTCGGGAATAAAAAAGAAGAAAAAAGCATATTTAACTTATTTATATTTCCTATCTCATTTTTTTTTGAATTTAAGTTTGGTCTGCTTTTTGAGGTGGTGATGTTATACAAGAAATTAGACAGAACTAAAAAAAAAAACTTTCTTAATTTAAAAAACAAAATCAAGTTTAAAATTTATAATATTTAACTTATCTATTATTAGTTAAAATTGCTATTACTTTTCAGCTTTCAAAAAGAAATTTGTTTAAAAATTGCGATCGCCGAAAGCCGATCACAGGTTACCTATTGGTAAAATGGTTGTTGTCTAATTTTTATTTTTTTACCCTCTTCATTTGTGATATTCACCTGAATTAGTATTGAAAACGATCCAGTTTGAACTGTAGGTTAGAATTCCTGATTCTTAATTAAAACAATAAAAACAAAAATATCGTTCAAATGATGAAATTATCTTTTATTCACAACTCAAGAATGGATGTCTCTGGTCCCATATCTCAAAAATAAGCTCACCAACTTAATGCATAACAAAATTAAAAGTGCAAAACGAATTCTAAAAAAAATATCAAACAGCAGCGTTCCTTATAGCAACGCATGCATAAACCCAATCGCAATCCATCAAATCGACACCCATTTAGCCAATGAGTAAAAAAAAAAAAAAAAGAACATCAAGATAGTGAAAACCGTGTTACCTACACTGAGCAAATTTATTGAGTAATGCAGGGTAAAATTAATTTTCTTATTTTTAAAATTTTAGAAGTCAAGCACCAGATTCGAAGTTGGCCCCAACACTATATTCTATCTCGCGTAAAACGTAAGGAGCAAAAATAATTTCGTAAGCTGATCTGACGGAGCAATAAATTAGTGTGACGCAAAAAAAATTTTACAATTAGGTTTTATTCAAAATAGGTGAAATTTGAAAAACTCTAAATCGAAAAAATTTCACAATTTGAAGTTTTTATGCCATTGCCTTCAATGGAATAATTGGTTTCATTATATTCAAATGAAATCGGTCCACGTAAAACTGTTCCACCGTAAAGTGCTTGACTTCGAGGGAGGTCGTCGCTCTTCCAAAATGGAGGAGCTATCTCCTCCGCAGAGGAAATTGTGATAACATGCCTTCAATTCATCTTAGGGATATTTTCCAGACCGTCGTCAGTTACCAATTGCGCTACTCAGAGACTAATATAGAATCTGCCTTTATATCTATGCTGCTGCTTCTCTTAAATAAAATTATTTCCGGAATTATCTCGTGATACAAATTAATTTTTAAAAAATTATTCCGGTGAAGAATTATTCTTTTTCAAAAATGACAAGAACTCTAAATGAGCAGTTTCTAGATTAAATTTTCTGATTTTTAATTTTAATCTTAAAAGCTCTAACTTTAATAAACTGTTTCACTTTCAAACTTTAGATGAACTTTGTAAAATAATCATCAGTCTATCGGTAACGCGAGAGTGCGATTTTTGTCATTATTACTTGTATAAATTATACTGGAAAAGAACTAAGCTCGTAAATAAAATATTTCAGATGGATGAATTTTTTTGTTTCTGAAATAGATATTTCAAAAACCTCATGAAGGAAACCATATCACAGTGCTGACACGCAGATGTGATACGTAGAGATTAAACCAACCAAAACAACATTGAATTAATTTGAAAGTAGAAAGCTGCAAGCGAAATTTCTTGTCTAAAGAAAATGATGCACAAAACGTATCCTGCAGCTTTAAATCCTGATCTTGTAAAAATAACAGAAGTACATTTTTACCGCTATTAACCGTTCGTAGTTAACATGATTTTATTTAACTCATATTTTCATGGGTGAGTAAAAGAATCTTCTTTTTTTTAACCTCTTTTTAGCACCGTTCTGTGCGTTTTAAATATTCTATCGTCGACGAATTTAAACTTTCGCTGCTACCATCATTTTGAGCTTATTTTAGTATGGGGGATGTGCTGTTTTCTATTAACAAAGTATTATCTTCATTACTTTTCATGATTTTTAAAATTTTATCTTTTTCTAGTCTTAACAGCTTAACTATTATAGTCACAATGTACCGGTATATTCTTATAGTGTCAATAAAAACATGGATCCGTTGTTTTCTTTAACTTTATTTTATATTGTTATTTAACTGTATTATCTTGTATTGCTTTCACAACAGTAAATAACTGAAGATATTTCGGTATCGCGATCTGTCTCTCTAGCTTCATCCGCCAAGGTGCCAAATAGATTTTAAACTTGCAATTTTTTTTAAAAAAAAAGATACATAGATGTTTGCTCGATGGTAGATATGAGTTATACCTTTCGAATTGGTCCCTTTCTGTGAGTTTTTTTTTTTAGGTTCGTGTCAGCCACTGCTCGAAAGTTTCCAAGACTTGGCGATTATTCTGCTGCAGATCATGATACGGAAATCTCCCCATTTCCGTATCGTGATCTGTGGCAGAATAAATGCCAAGTCTTGGCCCGATAGAAACTAAAAAAAAAATCGACTTGAAAGGTTGAACTTGTAACCACCTCGGGCAAACATCTACATGTTTTCTTTAAAAAAAATTTCAAGTTTAAAATCTATTTGGCACCTAGGCGCATAGTTGGATAATATGGATGCACACCGTGCGTGGATACATTGGAAAAAATTCTCCAGTTTTACAGATGTTTTATTTAATTTCATTGTAATAATGAAAAGGTATCCACACAAAAAAAGGAGATGACAATATAATCATAATTTATGCAAGGTAGATGAAAGTTGCTTAATTGTATGTGTGCTGCTGCCAAAGAGAAAAAATAAACTGCTCATGTAGTCCAAAAATTAGTGATCACGCCTTAAATAAAAGAGCAGACAACTGGACATGTCTATCCCTTTACTACAAAAATAAACAATTATGGTGACAGTTGGAAATCTTTTTATGCAATTTCGTCTGTTAATAAAAATGAAACATAATCTCCCAAGTTTGACACAAAAAGTTAAAATATGAATTTTGCTAGGAAGAATTATGTGAGCAAAATCACTAATATTATTTAATTCTTAATATGACAATAATTACTTAACACAAATAGACTTCTTTAATTTTATTTTTATTTGTGACTAATTATATTAATCTTCTTCTAATGTTCTAAAGGTTATTGTGCATATATATATAATTTTTTTTTCTTTCTCGGAAATAAGTGAATATGTTAAGTAGTTACCTAAATATTTTTTGTAATGTAATAAAATCATTTTGTACTTAAAAACTATTATGAGCTTGCAGATCTTCTTCTTCAGGAGCGCAACAGCCCTTTGCAGGCCTTGGCTGCCTCAACAGCACGCCTTCTCCAGCTCCCTCTGTCCATGGCAGCTCCCCTCCAGTTCTTAAGTTTTAGGACTTTGAGGTCGTTTTCGGTGTTGACCTTGCAGATCCTTTATTTTTTTTTATTTTACTTTGCCTCGACGATTGTAGTTGGTGCAACAAATCATGATACGGAAATCTCCCCTATAAGTTTCTGTTTGATTTTGTAATTTCATCTAAAAGTATTTTTAATATGATTCTTTTTTTTTATAATCGCTTGAAAGTTGCAGATTTTAAGTTCTAAAGAGGCAAACAAGTAATAGAACACTGGGTTACCCAAAGTTGGGTGATTTTTACTACTACTCAGCTGTTTCCAAAATATTTGAAAAACATCTTAAGTATTTTATTTATTTTTTTTGAGGAATATTGCGATGATATACATGAGCTGCAATCAATCTACTTACTAATTTACGGCCTTGAATATTTGATGTAAATATTTGATTTTTGAAAATTAAAATACTAAAAACATTCGTTGTTGTGGATGTGTGAAAAAATTCTGAACATGTTGGTTCATGTATCATACTTATAGAACTATACATATAACTAAAATAGAAGATGGATAATAAAAAAAAATTGAATAGGTAAAAGAACTCACAAAGGTAAACTGAAAACATTGGATTAAAAAAATCTTAAACTGTTCAAAAGTATAGAATTTAAACACTTTTTAATTATTTTCCCTTTCTTTTTCTATTTTAAAAACTTTAAGCTTAAACGCCAAGATCGATTCATCACATTTTTTCTTCTTCTCATGCTCGATGGGTAGGTAACCAAAGGATAACTCCTCAGACAACAGAAGAGTATTCATAGGTCAGAAATATTTTTATGGGTTTTGCTCAATCATTGGTTAAGCTTAAATGTTGGCTTAATCCAAGGGTAAAATTTTTGTTTTTTACCCGTGGATTAAATCTTACCCAAAGGTATCCTTCGAGGTATTATGGCTTCAAATGCTTTATAATACATCAGTCATAACCCTTATGTTGTCCAATTTTTATGTGTTATCTTTTCCGGGGTCAGGCCAGGTTATTTGAATTAAGTATATTTATTTCTATTTTATCAAACTTTTTCTTCTTAAATTCTAGTTCTATTAAATTGTCTTCTTTAAATTTTTTTGTTTTAAACATTTATATTAAAATTTGAATTTTTGAATTTAAATTAGTTTGAATTTTAGTTGAATTCTACAGTTGATACATTCTTTGTATTTAATAAAAAGTAATAAGTTTTTCTTGTGTTGTATTTTATAATTTTAATTCTTAAAACGTCATTGTTTATTAAACGGATTGGGGTTTTCTTAATTTTCTTATTATTTTGGCTTAAAGAATTTAAAAAAATTTTGATGTGTTTTAAGGGAACTTTTTTTTTCTTGTCTCTTAATAACAGATATTTAATTATTTTAAAATTTAACAGCTGAGTGGATAAAAGCTCTGTGCTTCATTTTAAAGAATTTGAGTAAATTATCTTTAGAATTTTTGGCAATGAAAAAATAAAGATTTTCACTAGCCTTTATTTCCTATGTGTAGGCTTTCAATTGATGAATTAATAAGTTCCAAACACTCATTTACACTGTTTTCTTCATATATCTATTTTCTTTTTTTTTTTAAATTTTGCTGACAAAAGAAAAAAAATTTAAAAAAATTTAAAGATTTAAAGATAACTCATTAATTGCAATTGAACTTTTTCCGTTCTACAAAGTTCCTCTTATTATCTTCATTTTCTTAATAAGTAAGGATGCAATGAATATTCGGCCACTATTTGGTATTTGGCCTACTCTGTCCTTTTACTGAATATTCGGTTGGCCAAACTTCGGCTGAATATTCGGCAAAGTATTATCTGGAGAATTATTTTTCAACATAATTTTTGTTTAGGGAAATTTTAATAGATTTATAAAAAAATAATATGAAAGTGCGTTTTTTACTTTACATTATTAGAAATAGTTTTTACACATATTTGTTAAGTTCTAAAACTTGTTAAACTAAAATTTATGTTCTGAAATACACATGGTAAAACAGCATTTTAATTGAAACTAGATTACTTTATCAGTGTTTTCACTACAGCGCGAGAATCTCGCATATTTTTTTCTTTTCTCGCATTAAAAAATGATTACCGAAAGAAATTCGCGCATTCTATAAACCAATTTCAAAATTCGCGAATTCTTCGCATTTTGAAATAATTTGTCATTGCACCATTTAGAATAAAATCTGTTTCACTTTTCTTCCTCGATCTTTCATTATTTTCAACATCTGCCCCATTATCTAGCTTCTCTATTTACCAGTATTGTACAGAACCTTTAAGAACAACAGAACACCATCTCTCGGAACCTCTTTCAGAACGCATTTCTCTGCAACCACATGTTTAAACGTAGGTAAGGTTTCTTCATGTAAGACGTTCAAATTTTTTGCGCATTAATGTAAGATGGATCTTCTACTCCGAAACGGACAAATGAAAAGAAAATGAAACAAATGTGGGTAGAAACGATCAAAACGAAGCAAATACGCATTTGAGCAACCTAATGAGAATAGCTGATGAAAAAGTAGACGTAGAACAATTTCCATATGATGTGCAGCAAAAATATTCAATGCTTTAAAAATTAGAAGATGTTAAAAATGTATTATAATTAAAGAAATGATTTTTTTTTCAAGTCTCTTTGTGTTTTTTTTTTTTAATTTTTGAAATCTCACCCTGTTTTTGAGAAAGAGTGAGAAATTCTCACCCATTTTTTTTCTGCGATGAAAACACTGCTTTATACTAAACTATGAGTTTTGTAATATTGATTTTTTTCTTATTTTTTTTAAAATTAAATTTAGGCAAGTCAATTTCGCTATTTTTCAACTCTTTATGCTTTAAAAATTGAGAACTTGTTTTTTGTTTTATTTTTGCTTGTTTTTCGGTTTTAACTAAATCGAAGCATATTATCAGAGTCTTTCAGATAGACTTCATTCTTTTATTGTCACTTTTTCTTGTACGGTAAGACACATAAATAGTAACATAGAAAACCAATATTCTCAAAATTAAAGTTATCCTTTAAAACTAAGAGCAGTTTTTTTTCTTTTTCTCTTATAATGTTTTATTAATTTTTCTTTTTATCTGAGTTTTTATTATGACGCCATTTTTTTAAAGAGAGTTTTCACATGAACGTTAATCTTTGATGGTGACTTTTTTCTAAAAATACAGCAGTGTGTGAAAAAAGTTAAATTAAGATTTTTGTGTTAAATCTTTCTTTTTAAAATCAAGAAAATTTTTTCTTTTGTTATCTTTCTAACTTATACTTAATTCTAAAAACTTATGTTTTTATAGACATTTTTATTATGATGCGGCAACTAAGAAGGTTTCTATTATACTTTAATCTTCACTTTTTGTATCTATTACAATTTCTAGAAAACTGAAATGTTCAAATTTAAAATTTTGTTTTAAAAATTAAAAGGGATTTTTATACTTTCTGTTTTGATTTTGTATAATTTTTGTGTTTTTATCGGCATTTTTATGATAGCGCTGCATTTTTAAAAATATTTCTGATAGACATTACCTCTTTTAATGTTTTATTGATTTTTTTTTCAGAAAATATTATGTTTAGTATTAAAGTTTTGTTTTAAGAATTAAGAGGGTATATTTTTTTCTATTTAAACTTTTTTTTCCGATTTTTTTTTATGGTTGTTACTTTTTTTTATCTTAAACTTTTTCTAATTATTTTAATATCTAATTATCTTAAAACATTTCTTTTAAAGTTTTTTTTCTCCCTTTACTTCATACCAATAAAACAGCTTAGTTTTGATTATTTTTCAATAATGATTTTTAATAATGATGACTTATTTCCATATGAAAAAATATTTATGAATATTTTTTTTTTATTTTAAAAAAAATGCTTTTTCAGCCACGGAATATTCAGCTACTTCATTTTTCGTTACATCTCAATTTCTTAAATTTGGATTAGTGAAAAACTTTGCAAAATAAACTATTGTTATTAATTGAATCAGACTTAAATGATATTGTTTTTGTTCTCATTACAGGCTCCGAAATCACTTAAATGTTGCTGTGAATGCAGTTCGTAATATACATGTTAATTCTCAGCCTTTATGGTTTCGACACTCTCCAATTTTATGGTACATATATATTACTTAATTGACTGATTAATTTTTGTTTTTGTAATAATCTCCTAAGTAGTCCATATACTTTTTTAATTCAACGCTAGTCGCAGGGGTGTAGAATATGTCCGATCCGGCAACCAAGATTTGGTAGAAATTCAGGCAGCCCCGAGAAAAGTTTTTCCGTTTAATTAAAAAAAAGAAGGAAAATGTTATAAAGTATTCTATTGTAAAAAAATATGTTGCTGTACAGAATTTTTCCCGTTAAAAATACTTTTTATGTTATTTTATTTATTTTTTAGTTTGAATTCCTTAAATTTATCAGTGACCTTAATTTTAGTTTCATAATTTTAACTATTTCAATATATTATGATTTCTGTTTTTTTTTTAACATGTATGTTTATTTAAGAGTCATATATTAAATAAACTTTTTTCTTTGAAGGTTTTGAAAAAGTTATTGTTAACTGAAAAGAAAAAGGATTATAATTTTCAGATAAATTTTGATCCCCCCCCCCAAAAAAAAAATGTTTTGGGAAAATATTAGCTTCGAGAATTTTCTACACCCCTGACTAGTTACAATAATTTAATAATTACTGAATTATAATTTAGTAAATTTCTGTATAAATATCTATACACATATTAAATTACTAAATAATTGTTAAACATAAGAGATAGTTGAAAAAGTGATTTTTTTTTTGTTAAAACATTGTTTTTATACATCTTTTTATTTTTTATTTGTTTTTTAATAATTTATGATTCTTAACAGTATTTTGTCATTTAAGGATGGGGAAAAGTAAAAAAACTCTTCTCCACATGCAGGAAAAATGAATATGAGAAAACAGATTATATTTCAAATTTGAGTATTACTGAGAACAAACTTCAGCCTTTGAAGTTTATAACCGTATCACTGTTTATAGAGTTGTGGGTAATTAAGGGATTATATTGAAACATTCATTTGCATTACATTCTGCCATTTTTTATGTGTTACTTGATAGCTGTGCTACTGTAAAAAGGATATGCAACTATACTATGTTAATTATATTTTATGTGTGCTAAAAATTAATTTAAATATTTTTTTAAAACTTTTCCATATTTTTTGTAAGTTTAATAATTTTCTTAAATTGCTAAAAATATATATATATATATATTTTAAAATTTTAGGGCTGAACCTCTAAGGAAGAAAAAAAGAATTGATCCTCAAGTTTTACGTGAAAGAGCAGAAAAGAAAGTTAAGAGAATTCAGAGAGATATAAGAAGATTAGAAAAAGTTGCAAGAAAGTTCAAGCCTATATCTGAACTTGAAATTCCCAAAAAAGCTATTAGGGACAGGTAAATGGTGATTTCTCAACAAAAATTTTCTGTTACATACAGCTTTAATTTGAAAGATTTAACATTTATATAATTTTAGTAATATTGTATGCTAATGGTAAACATCAGCGGTCACCACATGGCGACTAAATAGAATAAACCAGCCATCAAAATTTTTTTTTCATTTGCCTCTCACTCACTACCGCTTCATTTTGTCTTAGACACCCCATCTCTTCACGACTCCTTTCTTCCTGAAAATTCACACACATAATGTGCATAATAACGTTTATTTTAATAACTAATATTAATTTTTTTAATTAAATGGTTAACATATATATTTAATGGTTAAGCTAATGGTATTGCAATGAATTTTGTTATAAGAATTTTTTACATAGGTTAAATTTAAGCGCAGCAAAATTCAGTCTTAACTTTTTTTCAATCTATTTAAATGAAAAGATTTTTGCTCTTCATTATTGTCTGACATGATATTCTTTAATGACTTTTTCTGTCCTGTTTTATTGACAGTTTGTTTCAACATCTTTTCAGTTGTGGTTAACTTAGTTTTTTTTTATTTTTATTTTTTTTTTCGCCCTAAAGTTGAATTAATTATTGATGAAAAGAAACTACTCAAGGAGTAAACTGATGTTTGATTTTGTATCTTTTCTGAAAGATGAAACTGGAATAAAAAGCCGAGTGCAGCATTTCGCTTTTGGGGTATCTATGCCAAATGATAATGAACACTGTTGTCTTATGAAATTATGCTTTTTTGAGAATATATTATTTTTATGGCTGCTGTGAGTTTGAAACTGCTACTCATGACTGTCAGATCAACTTTAGCCTATCTAAAGCCAGTACTATCTATGCTTATTTCGAAAATCAAACAAAACATCAAGATGTAGAAAAGCCATCTTTTTGTGAAAATGAAAAGTGTTTCTAATTTTTTAATATTTAAAAACTTACTCTAATGCAGAATTACCTTGGCTCATAAAAATCTGCAAAAACTGAGAACACAACTGGGATTTTAATAATTTTCATTTAGGTTTTTAAAAAAGTTTAATAACTTTTAAAATATTTAAGTTATTTTTCTGTTCTAAAACCCAGCTGAAGCTTTCATGGAAAGATTATATATATAATTAAAATCATCGCATTGCTTCAGGTGTAAGGCACTTAAACTATCGATTTTTTTATTTTATTTTCCTTCGTAACAGAGCTTTGAAAAACAGCATTACAGTTTTAGCTTGAAAATATACTATTTTTCTTAATTTCATTCTGAACATTTTCATGTTAAATTGTGTGTTATTTAGTTTAATTTTTTTTTTAACATTTTGTGTGTCTTTAATTGTTAGACCCATTACTTTTTTGAACTACAATAGGAATTAAAATTTGTTTTCAGTTGCAAACTTTTACAATTTTAAATTATACTCAATTACAATTTTAAAATTTTCTTAAACATATAAATGATAGAGCTCTTTTTTTTCAAATTGTCAAATAAATTAATTTTTCTTTTTATTATTTTACAACAATGGAAATTATTTTAAATGCATTTTAATTCACACTTTAAAATAGATTATTTTTCTTAATTTGGATCCGAGCATTATCATGTTGAAATGTATTTTATGTAGTGAAAGAATGAGGCCATTACCAGTTCTAAGTGAAGAGGAAATCCATGAAAGAATGGAATTGAAGCAGTTATGGGCAGTTTATAAAAGAAAAGAACATGTTGCAGAAATGTCTGCAATTCAAAGAATCATTGATGCACAAGAAAAAGCTCTTGATGCATTACAAGAAGCTTCACCTTCTTTATATGAAGCAGCTATTCAGGTAATCAGATAATCTCTCATTTTGTTTGTGTTGATGTATGAGGTCATTAAATATATCGGTTGATACTAATTGGCTATTCAGAGATAATATTTAGTTATTTTAATCCTTAAATTTTAATGATTGAATGTAACTATAGTTAAGCCTTAATTATCCGACAATATTATAAAAATCATGCTTATATATTTTAAGTTTACCTACATTAAATTACCAGATATTTTTGGCTAATATGTGGTTACCACAAATCTTAGATTTTAATATAATTGAATGTAACTACAGAAGAACCCAAATGTCAGGCGCTATTAAAAAATAAAGGTTGTCAAATTTTTAAAAGTGATTTAAAGTTAAATTTACAAAAGTTATATTTTTTTAGGGTGCAAGTATTACATCATGAGTGTTATGTGGTATATCTGATATTAGGGATAAAATCTGGTAATGGGTAAATCTTAGATTTTAATTTTTGTAAGTAACCATAGCAAAACCCTGGTTAACCGATGCTATAAATTTTTTTTTTAAATATGAGTAATTTTCAAGTTGAACTTTAATTTTTAGACATGATTCAAACACCAATTAGAATTGTTTTGTACACATATTTTTTAGGTGGGCAAACAATTAACTATGAACAGCTTTGTCTATATTATTATATAAAACAATCTGTATATATGTATATTGTTAGAAAACAATGAAATTCGTTTTCACATTGGTGACAAAATTCTGTAAGCTAAAAAATCACGAGAGTGAGCAGTCATAAACATGAAAACAAAACATTACATACTAATCAGTTGTGAGTATATGTAGCTTAACTGGTCAATATGCAGCGTTGATGGAGTTGTCAAATAAAATATTACCAAACTTTATTAATTGTGGTGGTAGGTAATAATGGTATTAATGTAATTGGTAATTAATATGAGTGGTACTGTAGTCAGGGGTCGGTCCAGACATTTTGTGAAGGAATTACTCACATTCTTTCAACCAGGGTCATGCTTTTATGAACTTGTGCAAATAGGGTCCGGTTATTGCAAAAAAAAAACTTTTTCAAGGAGTTTTTAAATTGTAAATTGATACAAGATTATGCTCAGCACTGTAAAATTATAATGAAAAAAATTTAATTTTCAAAAATAAGCAGCGCTTCTAAANGCTGAAAGCAGAATATTCATTTCCGACGAATAAAGGAAGAAACGTCTGCCGAAGACAAAATTTAGTTCCGTTTACATCTGTCTTTATCCCCCCCCCCACTTCCTGGGAAGGGTTTATTCGATTAACAAAACAATAATGAAGATAAAACAAATTTGCGAAGGGTCCGATTTAAAGATAAATTATTTTGTGAAGGGTCCGTTTTTATGAAAAGATATTTTGTGAAGGGTCCGTTAACGAACCCAAATTTCTTCTAAACAGACCCCTGGTAGTTATATATTTTTTTTATGGTCCTTCGAAATGAGATAGAACTAAAATGTATAGAAATGAAGCATTTCGCAAGTTGCGTAGTTTTCATATTCTAAGAATTTATATTTAAAAAGATTACCAGCATTCATGCAAAGTTAGAGTAAAATACATGAGTATCCAATGAGTGAGCAAAGCGAGTTTGGATTGCAAACCAAGTTCAGATTGTTAAGTTTGAATTGAGACACGATTCAAAAGAAACTGCAAAAGCAGTTCTAGGATTTAGGAGTACAGAGAGTGAGGATAGAGCTTTCCTAGTTCTATATAAAACATTTATGTGTATGTATGTAGATTGTTAAAAAAACTCTTCTTCAGGCTTACAACAAAGAACTGAAATATTAAGCAAGTGATCGGTCATAAGCAAGAAAACCAAAACAACATCAAATAAAGAGGCCTAAACTAAATATCAACATTTATTAAGGAAAACAATATCAGCATCTAATCTAAGCATAAATTACTTTGATTAGCATATGCGTTTTCATTTGCTTTAAATGAAGCTGCCTAGAGTGAGATCCTTTAACTCATTATTTAATCTAAGATTATTTCTTCAAATTTACGATCTGTAATCTTTCAAAATAGGCCGCTTCTGCTCTACTTTTGTTGAATGGCATAGCTTTAATTATAATCAAATTTAAATTACTATTTTTATTCATCTGGTTCTTATACATTTTATAAAAAAGATATAATTTTAAATACTGTTAGAAAATGAATGAGCTCTCAAACTGGATAGTGGTATGAAAAAGATAAGTAACAAAAGCTTTAAAATATAATATGTATCAATATTATTGTGGACATTGAAATAAAGTAAGAAAAAATTACCAAGAAGTTTAAGCTAGCTTAAAAATGAGATTTAGCTTAGATAAAATTTACTGTATAAAATTTACGGTACAAACTATATATATATTCAAGTTTTCTAAATTTAATTGTTTTTGTACTTCTTTAACATATAATAAAAGAGTCAACTGTATAAATATGTTTTTCTGTATAAACTTTTTGTATTATAGTGTTAATTATTATTTTTTTCTCCTTTTAGCCAAATCCTAGTTTCATACCTTTCAAAATGCTAGGACCTGTTGAGACCCCACCCATCAATAAGTTTGACTACCCTGATGGAAATTATACTGATATAACTAAAGTTTATGAGCCTATTTTACCTACAGATCCTAAGAAGTTAAGACAACTAGGACTTCATAAAAAGAAATTATAATGTTTTTACATGTATAGATGTTTTTATGTTTGTTTATAGTTGAATAAAATAATCTTTCTGTTTGTTTTTTTTTCTTCTTTTGAATAAAAAGTATATGACCTCAATAACTTTTGATTTAATGATCAAATTTTCACAAATATATATACTCAATCTTAATTGTTCGGGGCCTTACCCTAATTACATGAATTAGTGCGATCGATATTTTAAGCTACGAAATACCACAGGAGCGAACTATCTCTAAATAATCTTTTTTCGTTGGATTTGGATTCTTGGCCCTTCAAGTATGAGGGATAAATGTATTCTGGAAAATATGGTTCCTTTAGTTATGCCAAAAAGGTGGTTGAAATTCGGGCTTCTTAATGTTGTTTTTTTCCCTCTTTTTTTTTCCTCTTTTTTCTTCCTTCGTTTTCTGCACATTTTCGTAACTGTTATCAGCTAATAAATTTTTGTATGCAATTATAAATCTTCTTCATCCAAGGATATTTCCATGTAAAAAATTATTTTTTATAATTTTTTATATCTGATAAACAAATGGTTAAAAACATTTGTAATTGTAAAGTTTACAAATGTTTCTAAACGTCAAAATTTTAATGAAATTGGTCTTATAGTTCTTGTGAAATTTAAAAATTCGACTTTGGGATGCGCAAAAAATAAAATTAACATTAAACGATCCAAACTTTCTACCACTCTCCTACCTAAGCTATTGAAACCTTATTTTCCTGTATATGTAATGTATATTTAGCGAAGGCACGTTTTTATGTCCGATTTCGTAATTGATTGTCTCTGTAGACGTTCGGTATATTTTCGAACGATGCTCTCAATGAAGCTTAACTCTACCCCCTTATCTCATCGCCTGGGATGAGTGTGAAGGCAATTTTAAAATCTTAAATAGGAACTACTATTTTTTAATTTTCCATAAATTACTCCAATTTGATATACTGGTTGTTGCATTTTTCTTCGTAGGTGACGCTGTAATTGCTAACGTAAAAAAGTGCTTAAAAGGGAGATATGTAAAATAATGTCTTATTTAAGAAAAAAAAAGCTTGGTATTTTCAAAAATTAATCTGAATGAAATTAAACTTGACCCCCTTTCACTATCCCAGGTCGACTCTTCGAGGGTGGGGTCTAGTTTGAGGGAAGGTTTCAAGATGGATATTAAAAAGGTTTTTCAAAATATCAGACGAGTTCATTTTTGTTTTTGAGATATGACAAGTACCGGTGTCAAAGTCTTCCTATAAATCCTATATATTTTTTAAAAACCTATATTACCGAAATACACTCCATAACAAAAAAATCGACGCACCAAGAAACAATCATCCGATTTCTTTGAAATTTCGTATGCATGAATGTTTTGAACAGATATGGCTGGAATGATGCCGACTGGGGACGTATAGTCTTTAGCGACGAATCCCGCTTCCAACTGTGTCCTGACGATCATCAAAGACGTGTTTGGAGACGCAGAGGGGTGATCCCGCCTTCACTATTGCACCCCACACCGGCCCTCAACAAGGCATTATGGTCTGGAGTGCCATTTCCTTTGACAGCCGGACCCCTTTGGTCGTCATTAGAGGTACACTTACTGCACAGCGGTACGTCGACGACATCCTAAGACCTGTTTTGCTACCATTCCTTTTGCAGCGCCTTGGGCTGGTTTTTCAGCAGGACAATGCCAGACCACATACGGCACGTGTTGCTATGAACTGTCTGC